GGGGTGACCGGTCAGATGTTGATGGGGGCCAGTTGAACTGGGCCTAGAAGTGTTCAGCCCATTGATCCAGGCGGCGTTGCTGATCGTGAATCAGTGTGCAATCGGATTCTTTAACTACCTCACTTAAGACTATTCTCCTAGGGCCTGTGTTCCTAATTAGACGGAAAAGGTTGTGACTATTACCAATAGCCACAGCTTTCTGTATCTCTCTACGCTTTTCTATCCATCACTTTTCGCGTACATCCCCCAGACTCTTGATGAGCTGGCGTTTGGGGGGATTTGCGCACTGTGTCACATGTTGCATCAGGAGTGGACCCAAGTACCGAACTGATCTAGCGATTTAGTCGAAACATCCGGGTGAGAGATTCCATTTAAGATTGGCAATGTAAATTCTGGGGGAGTGCGCTAGACTAGATTCAATACAGAAATCTTCATTGTTAACTTAGAACAAGTATGGGTATTTGGTAATCTTTTAACCTTAACCCACAACACAGAATCATCGCAACGATTGTTCGAGGTTTGTTTGTCTTAAAAGCAACGATCTCCCCGAGCCACAAATGATTGAATCACCCGTTAGTTATTCTTATCACAAATACGACAAATTGTGATATTTGAAAGGAAATCTTTCGTGACAGTAGCTGAAACAGGCGACCAATTTCCCTGTAAAACAGAAAAAAAAGATATCCAGATATTGTTCATCATTTCGTGTATCAGTGTGTGTGTATGCACCCAAGTTTTACCAAAACAGAACGTTATTGGCCAAGTTATGTTATCCGATGAAAAGCGGGTTGTATGAGATCTATGGAAAGGATTAGTGTAGGAGCATATATACATATAGAACAGATTTAAAATCAATTCCAAATCGTGCATACCTGAAAATTTTCGTCCAAATACGTGATGGCCGTGGTGAGTTGTTCGGATTTGGTAAACAGATGAACAATGATCCGGTTGACAGCATCCAAATGGGGACCGGTGTAGTTGGTGTGTGTTAGCTGTTTATGAAAAACAGCAAGGAATATGAAAGGAAAAAATCCGAGGGACGGAGCTTGCGAACAAGCATGGTATCAACATAACAACAGTAACAACAACAAGAATAACAGAAAACAAAAAGGGTTGGGATGGAATACGAACATTTATGGTGAGTAATACGATTAGCATTATTTTGTTTGCCTCGCTGTAAAAATTTGATCATTTTTGTGTTAATGTATTGTTTCCATAAAAGGGGGGCACGGGACTCAGACATGAAGACCGTACAGGGTCAACAACCAACAATAGTTCTCATCAATCGGGTCCCAGTCTCGAACGTGGACTGCATCAACCGAAGCCAAAGCTGAGGCTAGCCTTTTCAATCAATTACTCATGCGAATCATACTGTACCATGAATTCCACCTTATTGCTGCAATGAGAAGTTTAATGGACCCCGTGCAGGCACATCATACCAGTCACAACAATCTGAGCACTTCTCTAACAGACTGGAACAATGAAATGACATTAAACATACACGTGGACCGGAAAATGATGATGTGCCAATCTCAAATACGGTGGATGCACGTAACACGTCATGGAATAAAGTTTTCTTAATGGAATAATAGCCGAAGCCGGATCCGAGCTTATGGTACTTTGTCACCCGAGCGCATCACAGAAAGTGGTATTTGTCACGGTTGCTCTCTCCTCTTCTATTTAACTTTGTTGGGGATTTGATTATGAAAACAGCCCTGTCCTCGTGCGAGCATCGGGGTATCGATTTACTTCCAGGTGGCAGACTCTGATCTGGAGTATACAGACGACATTGTGCTACTAACTAAATATTCAGGTAAGTTGCAAGGCTTTCTGGATAGTTTGGGTGCTGGTTTAGACATGTTCAGTGTGCGTTTTGCACCTCAAAGTGTAAAATGTTACTACAAACTGGGTAGGTTCAGCACCCAGTTTTACACTGACTGGGGAAGCAATACAGGAAGTGGACAACTTTTGCGATCTGGGCAGCCATATCTCAACTGGCGGACGCATCACAGAGGAAGTGTCAGCGCGCATACAAAAGGCTTGGTTGGCATTTGCTAACTTGGGACATCTATGGTGTCGTCGCGACATCTGGTTGTCTGTGAAGGACTGAGTATATGCTGCAGCAGTTCGACCAATTCCGCTCTACAGTGTAGAGACTTGACCACCACGGAGTGCGAACACCTCTGTTCACGTAGCATCGCACGAGTCTGTTGGGGAAAC